CGTCTGTTGAAATGGCTTTTTCTTTTACAGGCCGTTTCACACACCGTTGGTTTGAACAAGTGATGACAACCATCTCTCCACTACAGTTTGATACATAGCTGTTGCAAATTCCTCAAAAGTATCAAGTTTGAGGCAAATCTTGTCCATGCAATAGATTTTAGATCATTCAAACTCTTCTCTGCAGCATATCTTGAATTGTACCTTGTTAGAAAGTGCTAAACTCAACAAACTTACAAACAAACTGTGAAGCACTTTCTCCGACGACAAGAGATTCCCTCATCACATGATCATGACATTTGTCATCACATGATCACTTTTTTAATTCCGTGAATGAAATCAACAGTGCATGCGCTGGCCTGAAAAAAAAGTAATTTCAACGAACGTCTGCGATAAATAATAATAAGCACCATCCCTTGTATTAGCACCCAGCCCTTTACAGTCATGAAATTAAATCCACCCCCATGACATGAGGCCATTTGGTGTATCATTTGACGTACTGTAATTACAGTTAGCTCAAGCACAACATCATCACTATGACTAACATCAAGTTAATTTCCTATGGAGTTTTTGTTAGAAAAAGATGTAAAAAATGTGAAATAGCAATCAAGAAAGATGGTTTCCTTCAGTGCTAAATTAAAAGAAGTGGGTTTTTTTTAACAAATATTTCATATTATTCAGAATAGCTATTTGTTGAAAAGTTTGCAGTTTTCTTGGTTACCTTGGCATGTCTGTCCACTGAGGCTGAAAGCAGTCTCTTGTCGTCTTGAGAAACATCACATGACAGAACATACTCACTACTGCTGTGAGGGCAAGACAACTCAAGCGATCCATTCTGTACATTCCACACCTACAAAATTACAACAAAAATGATTTCAGCAAAAGCCATCTCTTTACATGTAGCTTAAATCGCTTTTATTGTTTACTTACAGCAGTGGAGATCACTATCCCAAATATTCAAACTTTGCAGAATAGAATTAAAGTAATTCTTGAACAGCAGCATACACTGTACCTTCAGTGTCCCATCTAAGGATGCCGTTAGCAATAGATGTTGGTTCTGGTTAAAGAACATGCATCTTTGTATACTTGCTGTGTGACCTTCCAAAGAGAACATTAATCTGCCGTCCACACAGTGGTAAACCTTTAAACAAGTAAATATTTCACAGCATTACTCAATAAAAACGTGTTCAATATGGTTCCTAAAGTTATCAAATTCAAAACATCCAATAATTCTGGCCCCAGCTGTTCGAAAGGTGGATAATGCTATCCGCTGGATAAACTGCTTTTCAGTGGATAAGTGCTGACAAAAAAAACTGTGCTATCCACTGGATGTTGATTCATCAAGTGGATAGCATTATCTACCTTTCAAACAACCCAGGCCTGCAATGTAAACAAGCTACTACTGCAAGTGACATGCTGCTATAGTATGAAGTTTCAAAATGACACAACAGTAAAGGTCCAGCTGGGGGCATCAGAAAATGCCATAATCTTTCCCATTTTCTTTTATCCTTCCCTCCTTCTTCTGACAAGATCTGTGTCCCACCAGTGTCTTCCCAACCCATCTCCTTTTTGTACAAGTTCCCACTCCCCTCATAACATACCCTCTCCCTGGCCCCAATTCCAGATCCCTGTGAGCTAATAGAATGTACCACAGAAAGACAAAACTGATAGAAGCTGATTCATTCACGAAGACAATAATAGTATTATCACCTTTGCAGTGCAATCCTCCGAGACTGATACTAAAACTTGGGAACATTTAGTGAAAACGCACCACTTGACACGGCTAGAATGACTCTTGAATTCTTGGATCACTTTACAAGTTGAGCTCTCTAAAATCTGCAGGTGCAACAGAAGGCAGATTATACACTGTCTGACCTGACAAGCAAATAACTATCAATTCATTCCAAATAATCTCTTAAACATATAGTAAAAAATCAGAAAATCTTTTTAAACTGTAAATTTATAAAGTTTTACATACAAGATATGAGTAAATGTATATATTATGATGTGAAAAAATGATTGGTTTTCACCTGAGTGTCAATAATTCACATTTGACTTGCTTTTGCCTCCAGTCAGAAGTATTATTGTGCCTTACACACACAGATTTTCCCACGCCTCAAGTCAGCTACATGTATCTACTTGATTCCTGACTAGTTCACTAGAGTCAGTGTCTCTGTCCTTTGCTATTAGCCAAAGTGACTTCTTTGGTTTTGGGTTCATGAAAGATATGTTGCTAAGAAGAATTGCTACACTGGCTTCATTTGGTCAAGAACACTAAGAATGAGTCATGGCATCCTATGATTATTCGGGTGTGAGTGAGGTGAATTGTTCACTAACTAATGTTGTACCTTAACCACACCATCATCTAAACCAATGGCAACCTGTCTTCCATCACTGTTAAAACTAATGCTTGTTATTCTAGACTTGTTTCCTTCACTTTGTGACAATAACTTGGTGTCCTCACCTTCAAATATCTGAAAGACAAGGTCAAGATTTCTTACAAGCCTTGTGTCAGATGTTTATTCATAGAGTGACCTAGTATTTCAGACTCTCAATATAATGAGCACTGGATTTAAAGAAATGTTTCCTTGGAACACAGAGTCAACTTAAAAAGGGTATGATCTTACATTTGCATATAACAAAATATAAGTTGCTCTTTACCATTAGCCTGTTGCAAGTGTCAGTTATGGCAATTGTCAAGGAATCCCCCAAGAACATCACATCAAACACCATTCTCAGCTTGCTTGATTCTTGAACATTGTTCATGTCAACAGCCCAAATCTATATGGAAGGATACGTTTGACATACATAAATAAACTTTATTACTAGTCTGGGAGGATAAGAAGTCATACATGGTGTCGTTATGGGCTCAAATCTAAGAAATATTTCCCTGTGGAATAAAAGGATAACAACTTTTTCTGCATGCTTCCATCCGCCTGAATAATATTCAGAAAGTCATCCACACATCCTCTAACTATACCTTCACAGTTTCATCATCAGAAGATGATACCAACTTGCAGGAATCCTGTGAAAAGGCAACACAGTGCACCCAACCCGAGTGTCCTCTGTACACACCTATGCTGCCTTCACTAACAGCATTCCACAGCTGAAATTTAACAATAAACAAGCATTTTTCTATCATTTCTTTTTCTTGACTTTATGTACATACATACACAAAATAATGGGTTAAATCAGACTGAGATGAACTTACTGTACCTGTATAGTAGTGTCAGAAAGGCCCACAGCCAAAATACTGTCATCCCGTGAGTAAGCCAGTGACAGAGTTGTAGAGGATGTATGAATGTTCTTTATTTCTTGACCAGTTTTGGAATCCCAGATCTAAAAGAGAAAAACAATCATTAACTATTTCAGCCCATGACAAATGCCCTTGTATTGAGGTTGTGTACACGTGTATTTTCTATGTAATAAAATAACATGGACTTTTTTATGCAATAAGGCTTCAAAAACTGTCTCTCTCTCCATATGCAACCAATAAAGATGTGAATATAGTAATTTCAGTTCCACATGCACTCTGTGACAAGGTTTCCCCTCGAAACTGAAGTGAGGCACAAGAGGCTTGAGAAAAGGCCCTTGAAACCTTTACTTTTTTGCACTGTTTACACTACAAATCGTTGAGCTTTTCAGTGGCCATTAATTGCCTTGAAGATCTACCAAAGAGCAAAACTAGTACTGTATTATTTAATGATCAAAATGTATTATGTCCTTCACACCTTTACAAAAGTGTCAGAGACACCAACTATATTGCATCCAGTTGGCTTGAAACAGCAAAATGTTACAGCAGAGTTTGTTCCTCCTTCCAGCGTAAGCAACTCTTGTCCTGAACTAGAATCCCACACCTGGTCAGGTGGCAAAAAGATATTAATTAGCTGTCGGTGAATTATTTAACACAAAATGTTAGAGACCAGCTGAATTGTATTATTTTATTACAGAGAAAACCTCCATTACCACAATGTTTTGTATAAGTGCCAGTAAACAGGCCACTTTCTTATACAGTCATGTAGATAATTTCCAAGTCCTGCAATAGACTCACACAATCAAACTGTATACATAAGCTTAAAGGGGCTCAGTCACGGTTTATGCATATTGAAAAGTTTAGCGTCAATTTTTCAATTCCGTTGGTTGTAATCTGTGTCAATCTTCTCCATCCTTAGCCATTGTTGTTCCTTAATGGTTTATCATTANCATTACCTTGACAAGAGTGTCATCAGAGCAAGACACAATCCTCAAACCATCAGGTGAATAACAGCAGCAGCGAACAATATCAGCATGCCCAGTATAGGTGACACAAAGCACTCCATTGTCACTATTCCAAACCTGTAAATTCCATGAAATCAAAAACAATAAAATTATTGACAAAATAATGTTTATCTCAAATCCCATCTGCTACAGGCTACTGAAAGGCCAAAGGCTAATTTTCTCCTTTTTTGCCCAGCAGGGTCACATTTCAACATTAACTTGAGAAAGTACCTGGACAGTTTTGTCAGCAGAACAGGAGACAATGTTTATGTCATCTGGTGAAAACAGACATGTAAACACCTCTTGATCATGGCCTTTGAAACTCAACAGTTCTCTTCCACTACTACTGTCCCAAACCTGAACAAAATAGATGAGAATAGAGCCATTACTAAACATATACATTAGTTGCTAGTTACTCAAAGGGCAGGTTTCTGTAACAAGTTATTGCAGTAGCAGCTAGTAGCAATTTGCAACTTCCCCTGGATAGGGTGCTCATCTCTTACAGATTTCCCTGCACAGTGTCAAGTCACAATAACAATACTGACAAGAGACCATTAATTTCATACTCCTGAATGGAGAAAAGCACAGTCAAAGCCAAGCTCAAGACATTAATTGAGATTTCAAAGCAGTAACAAATAGGTTGTCAAGCCTAACATTATGGGTAATAAAGCAGGCCTTGAAAAAAGTGCTGTCCCATTGTCCTGGATGAATAGATTTTCCTTCTGGGCAAGAAACTTTTCATTCTCACCTGCATGATGGGCAAGGGATCAGGACAGCTATCTGCTGACTAAACCATTAAAAGAGCAAACAAAGACTTGCCCAGCACGAGAAACATTTTAGAGCTACTTGTCCCAAGGGCAAGCTGGAATTCAATTTTTTTCAAGTCCTGTAAAGGTGACAGTTCATAGAAGTTGCAAAATATCCCTTTGGCCACTCTTTAATAACAAATCCATACCTTAACAGTGTGGTCAGCAGAACATGAAACAATTCTAGCATCATTACTGGAGAAGGCACAACAGTACACTGCATCAGAATGGCCTGTCAAAGACAGCAGCTCCTTGCCAGACTGACTCTCCCATACCTTGAAAGAAATGTGAATAACAATCTAATGGCAGAACATATTTATCACAATGACACTCTCACTAAAGTTTTGTTAAGCTTTCTGACATTTCTCCTTGACTTTTTTGCTGAGTATTAAATTTGATTTCCGGGACTCAGAGACCAACTTGAATAAAGACTGTCCACAAACAATGACTCATTAACCAACGTACATGTAGATGCATGCATTGAGTGTTAACTGAACGAATGTTCATGCTTTCTGTCAGTCACCTTGTCATAAAATAGTACCAAGGGAGTAACACCGTACCTTGACAGCTTTGTCTGCGCCACAGGAAACCACTTTACTGGTATCTTGTGAAAACTGGCAGCAGTATACAGCTCCTTGGTGAATTTTCACTGTTATCAGTAGTGTGTCTTGTGATTCCTCTCTCTGATTACTAACAATCAAACAATTGCAGAGTCATGTTCAATTAAGTCTGTAAATGCTTTTAATTAATATTGGTAGACCACATTGATGGCCTTACTTCTCACCTCCAATCAAGATACAACTTCCCTTCACCTGCCAATTGGCTGGCTTTCTGTTGTGCTTGTTTGTAGACTTCTGAGTCTGTGGATTCACTCAGACCCATCTGGATTAAGTCAGGAAGTGGTTTTTCCACAAATTGATGTGCATTGACACTTGCAAAGTGATGGAAATCTCCTATGACCTTTAAATCCTTAAAAACACAAAAAGTAGTGTCAAAGTTATGCATGATGAGACTGACTACTAATGATGCTTAGTAAACAAGTCCTACACTATAACTATAATCTCTTAACTAGAGAGTCCCCTCCAGTCTATAGAAAATCCCTCCTCAAAATAATCCCCCCACAGAGATGCCCCTGAAAATAGTCCCTTTCCCTTGACTGGTATCCTATGGCTAGAACTAGTCTCCCCTCCCTCTTCTCCCCTTGTTACTGCTCCCAAAAGGTCCCTATGAAGACAGCTCCCTTTTCCTCTCTTAGATGGTAAGCAATGGAAATAAAACTTAATATTAAACAATTTACTGTAACTGAATTTCCGTACGTCTTGTTCAATATTCAAACTAATAACTTTGGATAGTCAAATAAATTTACCTTGCTATCAACATGCCCTTTGATTGACAGGTAGTCATTTAGTAGATCAGCAGGACCAGTGACGTCAAGTTTGGCTGCGAGCCACTTAAGATCTGTAATGAGTTTCTGTGCCTCTCCAATCAGACCAGCCCGGAGCATGTGTCGCAGAAGATTCCAATGAATATAACCATCATTAACCATGTCACCAAACTTCGCTGAAATCCATGAATGCAACAACACAGGCAGCTCATTTTAAAATCAAGAAATTATACTTTGCACCAAGCACTGACAACAAGACTCCACACATTCAAAGCCACTTATTAGGACCCCGTAGTTACAGGGATTGTTGTTGAAAAAGTTGGTAGATACTTTTTGGAGTGCCGAAAAGGAGGGTTATCATATGGAAATATGAAGATTATTAGAGGAGGGGGACAAATTCAAATCGACTTCAATCGTTTCGTCCAGCCTTTCCTGATACCCCCAAGCCTTCTCAGTGCCTCTCTTGCCAGAATTGAGTACAAATAAGTTCTCGTAAATTGCTAGCAAAACCTGACAAAATGCTTTAAGTACAACTGTAATGGACTAACATCACAACCAATGGGTTATATATAGCAACTGACATACTTTTGCAGAAACTAGAGTTAACTGAAATGGATCAGGGGCTGAAAACCAGGCTTTACTTGACTCACCACTGTACACCTTCCGGTATCTGTCAACTAGTTTCTTGTGCAAAGCTTGCAAGTCTGTAGCTTGTTCTTGAAGGAAAGTTAGTTGCAGGTTATGAACACTGTACCAGGTTCCTGTTATGTCATCAGATGTCACTGTTCTTCTTGCTAAGGATTTATTAACCAAGTCTTCCATCCAGTCTTCCACAACTTCAAACTAGAGAAATATATGAATGACAAGGTTGGTTTTTAAATAAATAAAAGAAATAAAATAAAATAAATAAATAAATAAATAAATAAACAAACAAACATTTCTTAATTGACTACTCCCCCAATGGACTTTTCTGTGCTGATGGAATCAGTGTGAACCTTATATAATTATTACACAATGTTTCCTATCCTGAACATCTAAATTAATTTCATTTACCGACCAACTGACCGACTGACAGACTGACCGACTGGCCAGCTNACAATGTTTCCTATCCTGAACATCTAAATTAATTTCATTTACTGACCAACTGACCGACTGACAGACTGACTGACTGGCCAGCTGACAGGCTGACTGGCCGGCTGACCGGCTGACTGCCTGACCCACTGACCCACTGATTCACCAACCACCTGACCAACCGACTGACTGACCAACTGACGTACTGACCTGCTGACTGACTAACTATGCTTTCTCACACATACAATTGAATGTTATTAGTGACTAACTGCCATTATTCAACTACAAAATATGTATTGCTACTGGACATCTTAATCTACACAGCCTACCTCCTCATTCCAGAGGATACAAAGAACCTGAGCAGGGACTTTGGACTCTTCGTGAAACACTGCAAAATCTTCGTAAATCTCTCTCAGCTCATCAGGCAAGTTGTTGATGCTCATTCGAATTGCTTCAGTAAGTGTTGGATATTCATACTCAAACTTTGTTTTTAGCTTGCTGACGTTTTTCTTCTTTAGCTGGCTAACATAATACTGCCATCTCTTTGGATGACTGCGGAGCAGAGCTCCAATCATGCTTATGGCCAAGGGAAAGCCATTTGTAAGATGAAACATTTCTTTGGCTTCTGGTGGAAGATGTACTATTGGCTGTTTTGTCCACTGAGCAAGAATTTGCAGTGATTCACTTTCCGTGAAGCCCTCACTGATGCGGACCTTAGCTTTTGCTCCACCAACCAAGTTTGTGATTGCTGCATCACGAGTAGTTACCATAATACGGCAACGAATGTCAAAGAATTTAACATCACTAGAATTCCACAAATCATCTAAAACTAGCAAAGAACGTGGGTGCTGGTGTGCAAAGAGCATTCTTAGCCTGTCCTTTGCCTCTTCTATATTTCTTGGAGGTTGTCTGCTGTGATCGGGATCAAGCCTAGCACAAAGATTTTGCATTAGCATTAGAAGTTTTGACTGGTCAACAGGGCCAATTCGTATCCAATGCACACCACCAGGAAAGCATTCATTTAAGAGCCCCGCACTTCTGAGAGCTTCAGAGGCTAAAACAGTCTTGCCACAGCCAGCCATTCCATGCAAGATGACCCAACCATCTTTTTTCTGTAGAGATCTCAAGGCAGAATGAATCTTGTGAACATCTTTTCCTCGATGAGCAAAAACTGTTGGTCGCTGTGGCACTCCACCCTCCAGAAGAATATTCTCAACTATGCAAAGAAAAAAAAAAGATTAAGTAATGAAATCAGATTGACAATTTTACCTAATGCCTTAAGCTATTTGAGCTGCAATCCGCAATGTGCAGCTCCAGAAAATATCCACACTCTCCCCTTCAGAAAGGATTGGAATTTCCAGGGGGTGGGGGGTTCTCTAAGATCAATGGAAAAACCCCTTCCTTGGGGGAGGTATGGATATTTTCTGAAACTACAATTCAGTTCAATATTCATTAATGCAGCATCCTACAGTAGACATGGACAATCTACAGTTATTATATAATACCAAGTTAAGGATCGTTTACCCCTTGCTGCATTACATCTTCATTAAGGATGTTCGCACTAACTGTTTCTGCCCATCCTTATTACGCATACAAATTCACACCCCACGTCATGCATGAGAGTGCGCACTAAGTAATAAAATGAACAGTGGTAGGGCAGATGGCCATTGCTATAACTTTGCCTGGATTTAACAATCTTAAACATTCAGTGACCCCTACTTTTCTTTCCAGAAACAGATTTTATTCACAATTATCTCCACATTGTCCAAAAATGAACAAAAAATCAATCTGGGAAGTTAAGTAAAAGTTTTCTGGCCTTATTCGCTAACGAAGCCTGATTTTTTCAGATTTAGGGTGTTCTTCCATGCATGTTCTCTCCAAAACGAAGTCGCTGACCCCTGATTTTTTTTACATTTCTGACATACCTAACTCATCATCTTACAGTGGTAAAAGTCTCAGAAAAAAATCAATGTTAGAAAATTTTCGTGCAAACGTCCTTAAAATGCAAACAGCTGTAGATTAGAGTTTTTAAACATTAGTCCTACAAATTCCTATCAGGTGTTAAATGTGGCTAAAATTAATTTAAACAAGGTTACTCTCAAGCAAATACAGACAGGGGCCCCTGCCTTAACCTGCAGGGAGCACCCTATGGGGTTTCAGCCAGGTTTTGTGTGTATTAGATGCCACATTGCCCTTTGATTGCTGTAGATAACTGGCTGCTTTGCAGAAGCAAATCCTAACAGATTCTGGACCTAAACCCTACTAACCTTTACACTATACCTCGTTACTCTCAACTGGTTTCATAACCTATTTACCTCTTTCTAACAAATCTTTGGCATCTGAGATCTTCCTTGGACTCTTGACATCTTCTTGGAGAAGTTCCACCAGATGAGGGTATGGCTCCTCTAGTGACTCACGGAAACAATAGAATGCTGCATCACTCTTAGTTGACAACAGATCCAGCAGCTTCTCAGCTTGCCTTCTTGAAGTTTTCTCAGCTTTTATAAGCTCAGCATCATGGCCATCAAACACCATTTTACTCTGAAGAAAATTTAGAACATCATCGACCAGAAGATCTTCGACAATCTCAACTCGGTTTACAGTTAGGAGATCATTGTGTTCGGGAGTCATCATTTCTACTGTTGGTATAAAAAGGAAAAAACAAAAGTATTATTACAGTTGAACCTCCCTACAACCGCTACTTTTGGAACAGAGGAAAGTGGTTGTTAAGGGTAGTTAGAGGTGTAACACGACACCTTTTTTTTTTTTTCTGGGGTACAACATTTCTTTTCTTAGAAAATGCTTCTTTTACATGTAGCATATAAATACTTAACACAATCAAAATACATCAAGAAACAGAGACCAACGACATGTGGTACAGATCAAGTTTGGTAACCTATTACAATAAAAAATGGGTTTTGTATACACCATTTATCAGTCATTGATTTTAAAATGTCTGTTGTCAGGAAGATATTTTGGAAGTCAGGACGGATTTTAGAGGCTGCTGCTGTTGTGGAGAGGTTACATTAAGATTAAATGTATTGGCTGTCAACAAAACACAACAAATTGGCTGTTGCAGAAAGGTGGCTATTAGTGGAGGTTCGACTGTACCTATTTATCTTAATTGAACACAGAAAAGAATTCATGACATTAATTTTTACTAGAAACATTAGAGATTTGTTTTGTACCAAAATGGAAAATGTCACCAAGTTTCTAGCAATGATAAAACCGTCAGTCCATGAAATGCTAAGCACCACTACAACATGTTTACATGTTTTGATTTACCGACTCGGATATAGTATGTATATTATATTGATGCAATATTAATCAGTTTAATATACCATAGCATATTTAATATGACTTATTTAGGCCGAGCCATAAGGCTGAAAGATATGCGATTTAAATCTCGAGAGAACAGCGGGTGCAGACATGCCTCCATTAGCTTGTCCCTGGAAGCCGTTTAGCACAGTATCAATTCATGGGCCCAAAATAAGTCAGAACAAGTTGTCACCTTGTATAGTAGGCGGACCAAAACATAACAATACTTAACGGAATAAGTGATGGCCTCACTCAGTTTGCACGAGAGAATTGAATAGCGATTGCATCTCGCCTTTCTAAATTCCAGGGAAAGCGCGTGAAAAACAAAACTTGAGAATAACAGATCAACTTAGCATTAAGATTATGTACTCACGCTGTAAAGGAGAGTCGATTCCTTCAAAAACATTGTTGTGCCCGTCTTCACTGGCACCACTCTCTAACAGCCGCGCTAGATGAGGGTATTTCTCGCTAAGAGCGGTGAAAAAGTGTTCAAACGATTCGTATCCCTTCTTTGGAAGAATGTCCAAGAGCATCTCTGCTTGTCTACGGGAAGTTTGTTCGCTTCGAATGACCTCGGTGTCATCGGAGTCCAGCACGAATTTGCTCTGCAAGAACACGACCACATCATCTACTAGCAAGTCTTCCACGATTTCGCGACGAAACTTCAGCAACAAATGCCTGTGCTTCTCAAGCATCTTGCCAGGAAGAGTTTTACGTGTTTCTTAAAAACCAATTGCTATAATATTGACAAAAATAGCAACTAACTTCTCTGGTGTTCTCACTTCCTGCCATTTTGACGGGAAATTCTTCCACTTGATGGCGCATTCGGCGCATGACAATTAAACCACGACCGAAAGCGCGGGCTCTCCCCCGGGCACGCCTTTCAATACTTTTCAAGTACTACTGTAACTTTATATTATTTTCTACTTTTATTTTCTATTTCTGATGATTTTGTTTTATTTTCGTCACAATGTATTGTTAGTTCCTTAAAATTAGTGCTGAGGGCTTTTTAAGGGGGTTACCCACTCCACTGTGATGTAGGACGGGAGTTGATCACTGGGGAGTTGCTCTAATTCCGTGAAAATTGACAGGATGCTACTCAGAGATGTTCGAAGGTACCTCTGACATAGTTCAAACAGTTAATTCCTCTATTTATAGTGTCCCAATAGACCATTGATATATTAAAATTCTGACTTGGCACCAAGGATTGGGGGAAAAAGACAAAACAAATTACACCGAGGTCAAGGAATGAATAATTAACTTCTTTTGTTTTATTCCCCCATCCAAGCCTCCAAGACAAGTTAGAATTTTAACATATCAAAATTAGCCTAGTAGCACAGCATGGAGTCGAAGTGGCACTCAGCTCCGGATAGACTGGTTCCAAAACAGTTCCATCACACTTGCTAGCCTAAGGGTAAGGGTTTATAGAAGCGGGCCGCACATCCCCCTACTTTTTCTTGGAGTACAGCCCCCCAGTCAGAGGTCATGACCCTGTTGGTCAGCACCAAGAGTCACAGATCTCTAGACAGAATCAAAAGATGAGAGAGCACTATTCACACGAGCACAATAAAACTGCGAGCAGGACTTTCTTATTCTACCCAGGGCATATCATAGAGCACTTGGTCACCACTGACCAAAACAGCAATAGCTCCGGGTGAAAGACTGTGATGGTCAAGGTTTCTTCATCCTAACAGCCTACCAATAAGTTAACTTCTCAAAATCTCCCTGCAATGGCCATCTCTCTACAGCAGCTCCAGGTGCAACTACATTGCATAAATCCCCACATTTACACACAGAGAAAACACCAGCATTTAATATTATTTTGTTTACTTAAATCATAGGCGTGTCTAAAATAAATCACATAATGTCAGACAAACAATCCTGTCCACGTCTTCTGCAACCGTCATACTAGAAAGCAATATGTTTTGTTTTAAGTCCTTTTTATACCACTATAAAGGCATCAAGAACATTGAATTAGGCCATATGATAGCTTGTGTAACTGGCAGTCAATGGAAGAATTAAAAAGGAAACAGCACATTCGTTCTCCCTCGCTGTTCCCCTCACTGTATATTCCAACAGCTTTGCAATCAGTACTTTCAGGAAATTAGTTATGATAATTTGTCACTTTTCTAATGTTTGAAATTAATTTCAAATTGATTGAAACTTCAAACTTCTAACCGTTCTCTAAGGTACAAAACACCAATTTGTATACTACATGTAATAAACCGAAAATGAACAAGGACAGCCATGAATGGCTTGAAATAAATTATGGCCGATTTTTTTTTTCCAACACCTCCTTGAATCACACAACAAAGACTGCCAGCTAAACAGGCTATTATGACATCAACAATAGTGCAACTGGCAACTTAATTCCAATAAATTACGGCAATTTGTATGTTATTTAAATGAAAGCCATGGTTAAAAAACTTCCTTCGATTTCTCAAAGAAATTTAAAACTATTGTATTAAGAACCAGCAAACTGTTTTAAAATATCCCACTGAATATAACTGATGCAAATGATGATAGTTAAACTATAACAAAAGCATCATAGCGTTTTCCAGTTGTCAGGCTGTTCTCTGTATGTACCAACTACCTAATAAAAGCACTACAATCATTAGTAATAATAATTATAATAATTACAACCATGCACGATCAACTTGTTTAAATTCCTGATTAAAGATAATATCAACTATATGTGGCTTTGCCTGTACCAAAATAAAACCTTTTGACTTTCTTTCTGTTTCATTGCACTTCAAAATGTGTTATAACACCTTGCCACAAGAAATCACCTTACTTAGTAATGATTAAAGAAGCTTTAAAACTTGATCAGTGTTTGATCTTCACGCTACCAAACCTATAAGATTAATGATGTCACTGTAGGTTACCATACTTACACAATAAAATATACAAATATCCCCTTAGATCTTGTGACCACAACAGTAGTGAGCTATAAAACTACTCCAATCAACCCAAGTTATGACTAATAAAGGTTTTTTAAAAAATCTGGATATATGAACACGAAATGGAATCTAAGTATGCTTATCGCAAGCTACATATATGTATATATCGATACAGTAGATGGCAGCAATGAAAAAGGCTTCAATTAAGAACACTTTATGATAGCAAAGAAAACCTTTCTGTCTTCTTGCAAAACATGCATTAAATGACAGAGAACCAATCATAGACTGACTTGTAGTTGGTTGCCTTAACCAAGACAAAGTTTTTTTTTTGGCACATAACCTGCAACACTAGTACTTTGCTTTCCACAACCTGATTCATACAGGTATTTTAATTTGTTTCTTAAAACTTTTCAGTGTTGACTATTTTTTTCTAAATCAGATACTTTAGCCTAACACAACATAATTCTTTGCTAACTCATCAATATCATTGAAGCCTTAATGAAGGTAGGCAAATAACATAATAAAATTATCATTATCGCTTAATATGTTCTTTGAAGATGGAACAGCATACAGTATCAGATTTTGAGCTCTGTTACAACATGCTTATTGTTGAAAACCCTATGCCACTAGATTTTGAAAGTAAAACATATATTTTTGCAGACATGTACGTTTTATACCTCCGGGTAACGAATTTTAAAAGTGCTCACTACATAATAGGAAAATTAAAGTAAGTTCTCTAACTTACAGAAACAGCTAGTGTTCCACCTCTTTGAGTCGGGCAACTTGAACAAGTTCATTACTAATAAGAAGTTGTAACAGTGAAAATAACTTCCTGCTGTTTTTTAGGTTAGGAAAAATCTAGACTCTATCTGTCTCTCTGAGTCCCAAATTTACATTCAACAATACTTATATGACATTTTTCACCTGTTTTTTAAGAAAGTACAGTACGCTCTTTACAGCTTGAGGTCACGTCACTGTTCACTTATTTTCTATCAATGTTGTTGTAAATTTTTTATTTACTTCATAGACCACAACTTTGAGAAAATAGAAAGACCAAGATGAGATAACCAAGATGGTCATGAGAATTTGTAAAACATTGCCCAAACATTCAACCCACCATAAAATTTCACTCTTGAAGCCCGGGGCCTCAAACATTACCATGTTGTTAAATTCATCATGCTTGTTTTCTGGTATTTGTTAAGTCATAGTCCATAATATAACATTATATTAATGAAAGCAAGGTCGAGAAGGCCTCAACAGCAAATAGCTATTAGGTAAGAGATAAAGAAATGTTAATGAAAGATTAGTGCAAGAACAGTTACTCGAGATAACAAACAGTGCATGGAATGACGGGACTCATAAGAGTGAATGGATAAGGAAAACAGCTGTGTAGTTCTACTATTATACAAGGTTTCTCTTTTTGGGGGGAGGGGCCCAACCAGTAACTTCCAAAAGCTTGGGAACAACTTCATTGCCTGCAACAGTCTTTTTCAAAGGAAACAACCCTAGACTTGAGGTTTCAAGAATTTCTAGTGATTTGTCAGGGTGTTTTCTATTCTCACATAGATGCAAGCCCTATTTTAAAGGGAAAACCATGCTTACGTAAGTATTATACATATTAAACTTGTTTACGATGAAGTCTTAACTATCGTTCCTTAAGAGCTAAGTTTATGTCAAGATTATATACCATCTCCTATAGGTGTAATCTTTGCAACTTCAGTTACTCCGACCACTTCTTCTACAACTTCTTCCTGTATTACCACAGTTGGCTCTATCTGCTCCTGGTTTAATGCCTCTTGTATTATTTCCACTGGGTTGATTTCTTGCACTTCTGCCACTTCTTGACTCACTTTCTCCTGGCTTATTTCCATCTGTAATGTTACACTTTCTTCCACAACACTTGCAGTAGTTCCATCTGTTGCACTGACGTCATGTGATTGTCCATCACTCTGCTGCGCTGTCCCAGCAGTTCCGGTACCAACAGACACTTTGTACAAGGAGTCAGTCATAGTGCCTACTGACGACATCACTGCAGACTGGTCAGTACAACCAGCTGGTATCTGCTGGTTGTTTTCAGTGTTTGTGCCGACTGTTGTTTTCCTAATCTCCTCTGTTTCCACACCAACCGAAACCCTAGGTGGGAAGAACTGACCAGGCACTGCTTGTAGACCAGGAGGAAATGTGTTCATAGGCCTTGCTAAACCTGCAGCAGTTGCAAACGGCATGCTCATGCTAGGAATTGGACTGCCACCCATGGTATTGAGGAAGGTACTCATGTGCGGAATCTTAGCACTGGAGTTTGAAGCAGGAACTGTTGGTAGCATTTCTGGATGGCTGACTACATTAGGTCTGACAGTGGCCTCGCCCCCAGCAACAACTGTTATTTGACTTGAATCTTGTGGAGCCGGTGCTCTCTGCACTGTAGCAACCTGAGTTACTTCCACTGTTGCTCTCTTGGCAGGTGGCTCTCCCTCCTTCTCTGCATTACCTCTGACCTGGGAAGCCAATGCTGATAGCATGGAAGACATAGGGGTGCTGGTTGGAGGAAGGTTGCTGAGGTTTGCTAGCATTTCAGCGGCAGAGGTAGTTCTTTTCCGCCCTCTTCTTCCTCTAGGTTTAGGTGAAGCTGCATTTTTACCTTTGGAGTCAGCACCACTTGCATCACTTCCATCCCCAGGGGAAACAACAGCAACTGTTTCAGCCGTCACACTTTCTGCTATTGGAACTGAAGCTACCACTGTACTGACGCCAGGACTTGGTGCTCTAACTGGAGTGGCCACTGTACCCCTCATATCTGGAAAGGCTTGAACTTGACCAGCTGGCCCTGTCATAGGCATGGGTGCAAGGAATGCTACACCCTGGCCTGTTCCCTGAATACCTTGCATTGGCGCAATGGGAAGAAGGGTTGAAATGCTGTGTAAGATCTGGCCGTCCTTGGTCATAGTAGGAGCCATGCTACTAAACGTCTGCATCCCAGGAAGGACCCCAGCTTGGGATGCTGACAAAAATGCACCCTGAGGAGACATGCCAGGCATGAGTCCCTGCATGCCAGAGAAAGGCATTCCACCGACAGGGTTTCCTTGTACCCCAGGTAAAGTTTGGCCAGCAGTTACAGGAATCCCGGGAAGTAAAGCACCTTGAATTCCTGGCATTGTCATGCTGTACAGTGTACCAGATCCTGGAGGCAGTCCTTGAAGAATAGTTCCCTGAGGGCCAAGGACAGGCATTCCGGGAGGCAAAGACCCTTGTGTTACATTTGTTGATGTGACAGGAAGACTTACGAGCTGAGGTGTCGAAGATGACGGCTGCACTAGGGTCTGTGTGTTTTGGATAGCACTTGGTGCCATTCCAGAAGCGGCTGGATTCACTTCCACTGTGACAGCAACTGGACCTTCGATGCGAGAACTATTTGGCATAAGAGCGGCGGCCGCTGCGGCTGCTTCAACACTGTTTAGCGATGCGACCTGATTCACGGCAGCTACAAGGCTCGCTTCTGGACTTAGACTCGATTCCAAAGGTTTTAAAACTTGTGCTTGCTTGTTTTTGATGCCTTGTATTACCGCTTCGCTTACTCCTTTTGCCTGAGGGGTTGTTGACCGCTTTCTGATACCTAATCGCTCACGCCGTCTTCGCTGTCGTTCACGATTTCCTTTACGAATTATCTCCAGTTGCTCGTTTGTCATGGTTTCCTTTCGTTTTCGTCTCCATTCGCGATATCTCGCCCTCAGTGCTTCAATTTGATCGCTACTCATCCGTTCTTTTTGCTTTCTTTTCAACTCCCGTTGTTTTTCTCTTCTCGCCGTGACCTCATCGTTAGAACCGTGCATTTTCTTCTTTTCACGCTCTCTAAATACTCGCTTTGTCGCGACGTCTTCGGGTGATTTGTCAGTTTGTCTCTTCGAGTCTCGAGTTCGGCGCTTCTTTCCCTCTGCCTTGTTTTCTGTAGTTTCTGTTGGCTCTACGGTACCGTTTTCTTGGGGTTTTTCATCGACCACTTCTACTTCACTGGCAACAACCAGAACACTACTCTCATCTGAAGCGCCATCAAATTTTGAGCCATTGTCGTGACATGGTGGCGAAATGGCGTTGTTTGCTGAAGAGACGGTGTCCGATGAAATTTGCTCGGCTGCCCCTTCTTTTCTCGATTTTTGTCGCGTTCGCGTTGATCTTTTCGGTCTTGTTACCTTGGAAGTTTCTCTATCGAATTCTTCTGGTATTTCTGTCTCGACTTTCAGTGGTAGCGTCACTTCTACAATCGCACATCCCTCAGACAGCAACTCAAGATCATGGTTTGGGTCCACGTCGTTACTGGTTGTCGATGGCGCTTCACTCTGGCGTGACATCCTTAGTTTTTCGCGCCTTCGTCGCTGTCTTTCTCTGTTCAATCTTCGAATTCTTTCAGTTCGACTCTCCCCCGATGTTTCTGCGATGGATTCCAGTGTGTCTGTCTCCTCGTTACTCACTGTTGCATCCGTACTGTCATTAGCTTCGCTATTCATTTTTGCACAAGATATCGCATATCAAACCATCCAAAGTATAAACACGCCAGAAAGCAGGACTACGTCACGCGATAAACTAAAGGTCTTTCGACCAAACTTACGCGTTTCTTATTCGTACAAATCAAAAGACAAATCTTTGAAGAACTGCTGTTTGCTTATTGGGTGCGAATTCGAAGTACAAAGGACTTGAAAACAGACGATTTTGGCGTCTAGGTGGCCATATTGGGAATCAGTCAATCAAACTTTTGAAACCTCGGGAAGAGACGAGCCTCGCTTTCATACCGGGTGTGACGGGCTTGTTGACTGGCAGTGGTTCTGTCACATGTCTAAGAAATGTAATGTAACAGGAAAACTGGTTATGAAAAATATTTTTTTGTAACCTGCTGTCGTCTCAGTGTTTTTTTAAGTTTATGTTTTCTCTCGTCATAGGAATCATAACTTTTTCATCGATCGCTCGAATTTCTTGTAAGCGAATCAAACGTGCCGAAGTTATGTGACGTTGGAGCGTGATATTTTCCACTTGGATGACTGCTTTGACATCCCGAAGTAACGAACTATTTGTTATCAGCTCGCCCGGACCGGATGTTCACATACTTCGATCATGATAATGCGATTTTGCGTGATCTTTTGCGATATCTCTTTCCAGAAGCTCAATGCAGAGAGCAGACCAGAGCAATGTCTGTGATCGTTTGTAACTGCATGAAATTTCCAAACCTTGATTCCCTCGGGCTACGGCAGCTCAATAAAAAGTTCACGCATATTAATGTGCGGTTGATTGTCTTTGTTTTCTATCTGAGTTTCGTTATGAATGGAAACGTTTTATCGATGGCGGTTATATCAGGTATCACAAGCCGCTTGCCGTGAGCGTCCTCAGAAAGTGAGAACCAATAGCCAACTGGCCGGGTCATGACATGAGGTTCAATATCAAAGATAGAAATCACAAACTTAAATGTGTTGGCAATCATTGGAAGAAAAAATCTTGCCGGCATTTTATATCGGCTTGGATTTATGCAGCGAAATCTCCCCAAAACCTTGGGATAAAGCACCTTTATAGGTCCTCTCACTGGATAACTTAGGAAGCCCCCTCCCCCCTTACCCCAACCCCTTCTTCACAGTTCCCTTCCCACCATATTTCTACGCTCTCTTAAAATCATCCAGTTTTTCCAGTTGACACTTTTACTTTAGGTATTCCTCCTTGCTGGCGTAAAACCAAAAATTTATTTAGAGCCGGGAATTTTCAAAGTGCTTGAATAGCCAAAATGCCCGCGTTTCCTTGCCAGCGTTACAAACAAACTTTTGCGCATGCGGATCCATGCGGATGCAAATCACACTTCTCCACACCTTCAAAATACAAACTATTCGTTGAATAAACTGAAAATGTGAGTGTATACGTGAGCTCGAGATAGTGAAATTCGTGTTTTAAGGACTGCTATGTCTATGAGAGGAACTCCTCGAGGTTCCGACGAGAACCTTCAGTACAGCGCTGCTAGTGATAGTTTCTGGGACGTGGGAAATTTCAAGCGAACAGTCAAGCGCATAGACGATGGTGCAAAATTATGCGACGAATTCATGAAACTTGTGACGGAAAGAGCCGAAATTGAAGCAAAATACGCGTTCAAATTGAAGGCTTGGTCCAAGAAATGGGAAGAGTGTATAAGAAACGGTCCAGAATATGGTACGATGGAAGCTGCCATGCGAGGCACTGTGACCGAAGCGGAGTCAAGAGCAGAGATTCACATACTGTGTCGTGATAAACTCATGGATGAAGTGCACGAGGCCATAAAAAAGTGGAAGAATGAAAATTACCACAAGGGAATCTTTCAGTGGAAGGAAACGAAAGAGGCTGAAGAAGGATTTGCAAAGGCTCAAAAGTCTTGGGCAAAGCGACTGGCCAAGGTCGAACGGTCGAAAAAGGCATTTCATAATGCCTCGCGAAACACAGAACAGGCTCAGAGGTTGGAGAGCGAAGCGAGTAATAACGACACAGATCCGAAAATAGCTGAAAAACTGAAAAAGCTGCAAGACGCTACGGAAAAAGCGAAACGAGAAATGGAAAAATGCAGGGAAAAGTACGAATTACGTCTAGACGAAATAACTGGTTACAATCCTCAATATGAACGGGATATGATCCAAGAGTTCGAGAAGTGCCAGGAAAACGAAGACAAACGACTTGTGTTTTTTAGAGAAACGCTTGTTCAATATCACAGATGCCTGGATATATCGCAAAGCCCTGAGTAAGTATTTGAACAAAAGCAATTTCCTATTGTCAAATTTTCGTTTATTTTAGGAATGTGTCGGATCATTTGTTATGTTTGGATGATCCTGCACGCTTTGTATTAATGATGTACTTTTAATTCAATTTTCATACATGTTTTACAAGTGTCGTTAATCTGTTTTACGACCTGATTATTGTACAAACAATTAGCAAATGTTCCCCTGTAAAGCAGAGGCTCAAAAAAGGTTTCAAACATCAAGTTTGATTTTTTTTTTTTCGCGTTTCTGCATGAATGAATCTATTGAAGTACAGTTTATTCAGCGCTGATAAGTAAAATGCTAAAAATGACTATCTATAAGGTTAATTCTTTAGTTAATAATCCCCTCCTCTATTTAACCTTTAAGAAGAAATTACAGTGTAGCTACAACAGTAACTGGGCCCGCTTAAACAAAACTGACCAATCAGATTACTGTACACACAGTGCTTTCATTGAAATCTGGCCCCTGCCCAGAGTTGCAGCAGGTATTCGATTCAATAATAGGCTGATTTAGCAAGAGAACAGGAACATCACTTGACGACGGCGCGTGCAGTACAAATACCCAAATATGGTCAGATGACGACTGCAGGGTGCGCGAAATAACCTGGATTCTGTTCTAATTTGACCATATTTGGGTATTTGTACTGCGCGTGCCGTCATCAAGTGACGTTGCCGTTCTCTTGCTAAATCAGCCTAATGTTCACAGTTTTTCAAAATTGGCCTTCTAGATAGCAAGCTGTTATAGCCCTCTCCTTTCTCTCTGATGAATGCTGCATTAGGGAAAGACCGAACTATACCTGGAGAACTCCAAAGATGTTCTGAAGATTACTGAAGTGCCTTTTAAGTTGTAGAACATTTGATATTCTGTCTCAATTATTATATAATTTTAAGGGAGGTAGCTCCTAAAATTGGAAATGTATGTGAGGATGTTATGAGGCCCAGGTGGAAACAAGAAGATCTGTTAGATCTTATAACCGCGCTTTTAAATTTAACTGTTTTCTTAGCACTACAGTCGCAACGCAGTACACATTCAAAAGCAATCCTTGATGATTCATTAATTACTGTAGACACCACATCACTTGATCAACACAAACTGTATTATTGCACCATCAGTCGTAGCTGTTGTGAAATCTCCGATGACGTAATAGTCTTAATCAGAAACTTTCTTCGGGATATGTATGGCCATGAAGATACGAACACTATTAACAACGGCTTTCTTTCTTAAAAGTCACGATTAAATTTAATTGTTTTTTCCCTTGAGTAAAGGGCTAGCAAAAAAGTCACACAAGTCACATAATTCAAGAATTGCGTTGTCCGCGGCTATCTTTAGTACGGTGGTTATTTCCCTACCAATGACATAACCCTTGCGAGTTCTGACAAGTTCTTTACTTGGCTTGCAAATATTTAATTTTCCTCCCAATTTATGACCTCGCTGTGATGAAACAGCCAAAGAATTTCCTTCATTTGCCTAAAACCACAAGAAATACTCACAAAATTGCAAATAAATTAATGNTGGTAGGCACATCAGACCTTGTGGTAAATATTTTCACATCTTTCCTTCTCACTTGGTTAATAAGTCATGGTATAATGCCCTTGTCTTAAATTGCAGATTTTCAGGTATTTTTGTCAGCATGGGCCTAACATTCCAGAAAGCAGACGCACAATCTGATCTGGACTGGTGGTCACGTCACCATGGCACAGGCATGCCTCAGAATTGGCCTATGTTTGAGGTACATGAATGTCTTCTATTTTGACTAATCACCTTTCCTTTGTTTCCAGGTTTAAATTCAACATTTTAATTCTGGACTTTTATCTTCAACCGCTTTAGAATAATGTACCAGCTGCAATCAACTGGACATGTCACATGACCTTGTCAATAATTATTATAAAATTAGGTCATGGAATAAAAGAAATGCCAGAAATGGAAGAGCATACATGTAGAGGAAAAATAAACTTGATAGCAAGGCTTGTGATATACGATTCAGAAATGTATTTACATATTATTTTCCAGTTTGACAGCAGTGGTCTCAAACTGGGCAATCTTACTTATTTTATCATGTTGTTTCCATTTTTAGCAATGATCAATTCAACAGCATTGTTAAGGGTTTTACACTGCTGTTCCAAAAGCACTGTTGATATGGGAATTAAGACTAAAGTGGCAGTTACAGCTGAATATCACCTTATTGATAGATGATATTGATTTTCATTATACTACTGTCAGCAAGGCATCCTTTGATTCAAATCAAGCCTGCAAGACACTGCAGTTGGAATTAAGATATTTGAAATTTAATTGACTACAAACCCATTTGGAAATGCTAGGTTTCTTCTGATCTTAATGCCGATAGTTTGAGAGAGTTGTGACATTGTATGTCACTAAGTTGAATTACACTATATTTGCATGACATTAGAAGTTAAAATTAGTCTAGTTTAAAATCAGGCAGTTGTCAGTTTATGACTGTAGTAGCATGGACGTTATATGTAGAGGTTAATTAGTATTTAGTATCATAATACAGTCCTAGTGGGAAGATTGAACAAGCAAATAAGCCAGCTGTCAGCAAGCTCAATGCAAGAGGCTTTGGTGACAAGTTATTGGAACAGCCTTGATAGGCCACTTATCAGTGCTTCCTCATAGTAGGAGCCATTGAAATGTTGAGCCAGATGATAAGATTTTGACCAAACGTTTCCCAAGACCCCTCACTTTAAAATTAAAAGAGTTCTTTACAGATTTTAAAATTACCTTGTTACTTTTCTTATTCCTTTACCCATAACGATTACCATTGTTATTGCTTTATCCATGTGTAGGCAAGGAAACATGCAAATCAAAAGTTACGTAAGAGAAAAGCACTGTTCGGAAAAAGTCCAGCAGAACAAACAAAACTTGACACATTGCTTCTGGCTGGAGTGCCAAGCTCTGCAGAACCATTTAATAAATTAGAAATGGTGCATTTTGATGTGGAACATGACTCTGTCAGGAAGAGTGAAACTGCTGATGCTGATAGTCTTATTAGTTTTAACCCAGATGACTGCCTTGATGAAAGAGTTTTATACTATAGCATTGATTCAAGAGTTAGTTGCAATGCGGGGATTAACAATGTTGTGAATACTGGACAGCAACCACAAGATGGAAACTTTTCACCCACCATGGAACCTGTAGAAAGTATACGTAGTAACAGTAGCACAGAGGTAGTTTACTATGAAATACTGGATGTGTCAGTCAGAAACCAGATAGCTAGTGATTTTAGCTCACAGGAAAACCAACTGTTAGACCAGAGTTCACAGAGTAATGGAGTGTTAGAATTTGGTAAAGTGGAGAATAGCAGGCACACAGAGTTAGGCCAGGTGAGAGACTGGTAGAGTAAGTTTACTACAGTAAAATAGGGAGAAGGAAGTGCATACTTTTAGATTAGGTTGAATTTTATTCATTACTGATAGTGAAGGTGTGTCATAAATGATTTTAGAGGGAAGGCAACTGGTTTTCACAGGCAGGGAAACCTTTTTGAACTGAACTTCTTTTCAAGAAAAACCTTTCTCTAGATGGTCAAACAAGGGGCCTGTTTCTCGAAGGTCCCGAAAAGTTTTCGCACCTGAAAAGCCTTGGCAAAATCTCAAACCTCATGTCTTCAGAGCTGTTTTATGCACATATTCTTAATATGAACAGAGGTTCTCTTCATACAAGAAGTTTCAGGTATATACACCTCTCTGTCTTTAAATATGGATTAACAAAAATGGCTTTGCGCACCCAAAAAGTTTCTGGGGCTTTCGAGAAAGGAGCCCCAGGTAGGCAAAATCATCCTTACAGGCAGTCCATTTTCATGGTGCCTGGCTCTCACTGAAACCACTGACAGTGTTATTGTCACTGGATAAGTTGACTTCTACCACTTTGCAACAGAATTTCTCGTGGTCCTGCAGGGAACCTCCCTTACTTGTCTTATCCGTTAAATGCTCCTCGCATAGATTTAAAACTCAGTCAGGTGGACCTCGCATTTATTTGACTTTTGCAGGACCTATTTAAGCACCGAATTTTGTTAAGCGAGGGTTTTCATTTATTATTGTTGGCAGCCATACACCCTGGTGTTATTGCCTTCAGCTTATTATGCATTAAATACATATTTGAGACGACCATTTTCTGCTCCTTCTTGGAGACCAAACATTTAATCAAGAAAATAATGATAAATGCATTGCACATTCAAAACTGGTCATTTTTCAAACCTGCCTGTCCTGGTAGTTTAACCTTAGCTGTTCTTTTCAACCATCATTCTGAAGTTTGCCCCTGGGTATTTCCTGTACAGGACTTTATAACCCTGCCATGTTGAAGTAATACTATGTTTGTGTTTGTATGCCTGCCTGCTTGTTTGTGTGTTTGTTTGTTTGCTAGAGTTGGTTTAAAACAATTCTAACCATTATCATTTATGATGCTCCCAATGTCTTACATGATACACATTAATTGCAACAATTTAACCTGTTTTTCAGGAGTACAATGAGATTCCACCTGTCAAACGGACATTGTCCTCACGCAGCCATGAGCAAGCATCAGCACCACCCAGTTATCCAGCTAATCAGAATCATGTTGACGACAACACTGACTACTCTCATCAAAATGAGATGTAAGTTTATTTAAACAGAACCTACCAATAATCCAACTTAAGTTTATGATGAAATACACATTATCGTTATTAAAAAGATGCCTAGAAAGGACTTGCAACTCTTTACAAATAACTTTCTGTAGAATCAAAGTAAACTCCACTGTTAGATCAAGATGAGAGAGATAAGATGTTTGTTTACAAAGCTTCATTGAGCAGCACAACTTTTCATTGTCATTGTCTCTGTTTCCATTTATAGTAATCCATTCAACAATTACACTACAACAACAAGTGAAGACTTTAGTGATCCATCAGCAAAAGATGAGTGGGATATTGAGCCTCCTCCAATTGAGGATGCTGGCATTCCCGTCAGGGCTTTGTACGACTTTCAGGGAGTGGAAGAGGATGAACTCAACTTCAAAGAAGGGGACGTTCTCACGCAGCTATCTTCGCAGGATGACCAAGGGTGGTGTCAGGGAAGATTTCAGGGTAGAGTTGGACATTTTCCAGGGTCGTATGTGGAACCACTATAGAAAGCAGTTCTTTTGCTGGCACTGTGGTCTTGTTCTCCAAGGCTGAAGTTTAACTTAGCTTGTAAGCTTAGTCTTGGCTGATGACCAAGTGATTCCACCCTTCAATGATGTAATCCTGGTAGCGTAGGTCAAAGCCATTAATTTAGTTAAGGTGTATACAGTTTAAGTATCAAGTCTCTGACGGAATCAGAAAAACTTGATTGATTGGACAAATCGTAGTGAATAGTCGATAAATCTATATGACCAATGTACACTGTAGTGGTCATATGAAAAGGAACATATTTGAAATTAATTTGGGTGCAAGAACGAATTTGCTAGCTTGTAAATATTATTAGGTTCTATGTTAGAAATCTAGATTACAAATAAGAGATTCAAAACAATCCTCCATTTTGGGGAACTAAGTTAAGGAACAGTCTTGTTTCCAGGAGCATAAGGGAAAATTCTGCCAATATTTCAAAATTCACTCCATGTGTAGGGTTATGCATCAGCAGAGCCCTGAGACAATGTTGGTTTCTGGTGAAACTGTTGTGCTTCAGTAGAGGGCAAGTGAAATACTTTGGTCATGTATATTATTTACAACTTGAAATTGATAAAGGTAAATTAATAATTATTATGGTAATGAATTATAAAGCTGAAGTTTTGGGTGTCTATGAAGCAAAAGTTTTTGCAAATTTTTTCAAATTCACTATGGTAGTTAACATACCTTTAAAGGAAAAGGTCACTCCAAAAACCGTATAGGTTTTGTCAACGCTGATAAAAACCTCACACTAAGTTTAGCCACTCACCAAAGTTTCAGCCTCTAAAGTGCAGGTTTTCCTTATGAAATACGTCTCCAAAGGAGCCCAAATTTCGACATTGTTGCCGCCATTTTGAACAGTACTCTGCAGCCAGGCTGCGTTTTCGTGACGTCATTCTGTCCAACAGATTTTGTCCAAATGGCCTCCGACAAGCCTTTTAACTACCACTCTGGATTATGGCTGCTCTTGGTCCGTATTATTTTGAGCCAAACATGCTCCAACTCCGAAAATGATAGCAGTGAAGATAGTAAAAAAATACGTTTTTCTGACCTTGAGAGGGATGCAAAGCCATTTGCAGGTTTTTCTCCTTCCTGCCAATTTC